CTGCAGTGCAGCTTTCATGCAGAAGCTTTGTTACGCAGAGTGTCAACTCCAAAGAGCTGCCCTCACCTTCCTACAGGTGCTAATCTGATTAATTTTTTTAACTGTTCCACACAAACTTCCACTAATATTCGTGTTTGGGTGTTTCTTTTCCAGGATGAGAACATGGTGAGTTTTATCAAAGGAGGGATGAAAGTGCGGAACAGTTACTTAATTTATAAGTAAGTAATCAGAGAACAAGAGGGTGTATATTGAGTGTGTGATTAAGTTATCTAACTGTTTGATATCCACACTTGTTGCAGAGTACTTCTTGTATTGCTAGTAAAGGGGCACTTGATTATTTTTGCTTTCTTTAGTTTTGAAAATAGCCGTGATAATATCAAAGTTATCCCGCAGCCGGGAAGGTATGGAGTCATATGGTGTTTCTCAATGTCGAGGAATTGCTGCTCCAGAGCCACTATTTCAAGGATGCTAGGTCAGCAAGTCCCGTCGAAGGACTGTCCCGATGTCCAGGATGCTTGGAATTCTACAGAGCCCGGCGTCCTTCGTTGCGGGAAATTTCGAGGCTGCACATGTGTATCCTCCGCGGTCTTAAAATCCCCACAATGCTTTGCGCACGGACCAATTTCCAAAATCTTTGGTGGAAAATGTAAGGCGGGGCCTCTCAGAATGACGCACACCTGCACACTTGCTAGCCTGTTCCACTCATCGTTCTCCGAATGCCAGGAAGGATTCTTGCCTCGCCTCTGATGGGCCTGACTCGGAAGACTTGTCCCACCAAGGAAGCGTCCTCGACGTTGAGAAACACCCATAGAGTTTCATAAAAAAAATACATCTGTAAAAAAATATAAGATATTTAATTAAAAAGAAAAATATGCATGTTTTTACAAATATATATTTAAAAAAATGATTATAAGGTATTGAAATTATTTTTGATAACTATTTGTTCATTTTTTTATTTATTTACAGATTTTTTAAATAAATAAGTTTAAATGTTATATATTTATTACTTTATTGTTTCTGTAGTTATTTATTACATTTGAAGAAGGTAATTATTTCGTATTTTTTCTTATTCTTTTACCCATTGCTTTTCCCTGTTGTGTTAAGAAACATTTCAGATTTAAATATTATGTTTAATTATTTGATTTACGTATTTATTACTTGATGTATTCCTCTTTAACATTTTCATAATTATTCTTAACTATGGCACTTGTGTTATTCCATAGGGAGGTTCTAAAACAATATTACATTTAATTATAGGAAGTCTAATTTATAAAGTCAAGCAGTACATTTTCTATCCACATCATTATGCTTTTATATTAATTATGTTGTTAAGCTGAACTGTGTTTCAAATCATTTCGATTTTTGCCTTTTTTTCCATCCAGAGAACTGCATACCTTCACTAAATCTCACAGCTGTAACAAAGGACCGAGCCACGTTCACTTAGAGGGGGGGATATCGTTTGGAATAGGGGCGTTTAATCTGGTACGTCACAGAAATATCTTCCAGTGCTTTTTTAATTGTGTAAAACTGTGTCTTTGTACCTTTCAGTTCATCAGGTCTCCTTTATTCACAGACTCTGTCTCTATTTCCTCCTCGGATACTCAAAGTGTTGGAGTTTGCAGGCTTCTCTGGCGACAAGGTGGGAAATATAGTGACTTCTATTAGGTTACACTTATTCACGAACATAATAAATGTTATTTAAATGTGTGTTTTCTGTTTTTAGGAGTACGGTCTATCTCTTCTGCATGACGGTGCGACGGGAATGAATCTGCGCTCCATGCTGTGCGCTCTGCTAGTGCTCTGCTACTACACCTTCCTCACAGTCATACTAGGTAAAGCTGACCCTTTTTATATACAGTGGTGTAGGGATGACGTATTTCTGTAGTGAACCCTGAAGGCAGCATCTCCCTAGTTCCCTCCACATGAAGCCAATGGGGTTTCTCCATGTGATTTTGGAATATTGCAGAAAATAATCTCTGTGTTTATGATACTTACCCGTTTTCTTCAGAAAAATTCTCCACATATTAACACCACTTTATGATTTTTGAAATTGAAAGCTAACATTAGGCTATAAAGGAACTACAGCAGGGTCACATGACTTCACGTCACCACCGCTAAGCTAAAGGTGGCTACTGTTGGGCTATAAAGGAACTACAGCACGGTCACATGACTTCACGTCACCACAGCTAAGCTAAAGGTGGCTAATGTTGGGCTATAAAGGAACTACAGCACGGTCACGTGACTTCACGTCACCACCGCTAAGCTTAAGGTGGCTAATGTTGGGCTATAAAGGAACTACAGCACGGTCACATGACTTCACGTCACCACCGCTAAGCTAAAGGCGGCTAATGTTGGGCTATAAAGGAACTACAGCACGGTCACATGACTTCCCGTCACCACCGCTAAGCTAAAGGTGGCTAATGTTGGGCTATAAAGGAACTACAGCACGGTCACATGACTTCACGTCACCACCGCTAAGCTAAAGGTGGCTAATGTTGGGCTATGAAGGAACTACATCACTGTCACATGGGCTATAAAGGAACAACAGCACGGTCACATGACTTCACGTCACCACCGCTAAGCTAAAGGTGGCTAATGTTGGGCTATAAAGGAACTACAGCACGGTCACATGACTTCACGTCACCACCGCTAAGCTAAAGGTGGCTAATGTTGGGCTATAAAGGAACTACATCACGGTCACATGACTTCACGTCACCACCGCTAAGCTAAAGGTGGCTAATGTTGGGCTATAAAGGAACTACAGCACGGTCAGAAGACTTCACGTCACCACCGCTAAGCTAAAGGTGGCTAATGTTGGGCTATGAAGGAACTACATCACTGTCACATGACTTCACGTGAGACTGCTAAGCTACAGGGGCTATGTTGGCGGGATGATGTTTAGTCGTCTCATTTAGACACTCTCATTTTTT